TACACCGCCGCGAGTCGCCCCAGGGCTGAGAGCGGCGGTCAACAAATGCACCAAATAAATAAATAAATAAATCATTGCTGCACAAGACCGACCTTCCATTCAGCATTCCTATGCCTATAAATGGAGGGTGTTCTTGGTATTTTTGTCACCTTGATGCATGAGTTGAACTGGAGTTCTTCCTCTCCTGTTTTGGATATAGGTCTTACTCTTCCTTCCATTAAAAACCTCTTGGCAGTAATATCAGTTAATTTTTAATTCATCAGTAAACTCTCCACTTTCAGAATCCATTGGTCAAGCAGTTTCTCAAGGCTTATTTATTTATCGTGTCAGGGCAACCAGTTGATTATATTACATTTCTAACAGAACAAACCAAACAAACAGACAAAATACAAAATTTGTGAGTTTGGTAGTTGATTAAATGTCCTTTGACCAGTATCTGGCCACTTGGAGTGCTTCTGGTGTTGAGAACACCTCAATGGAGTTTACTTGGGAGACTGCCTTTCTAGTAGCAATTACATCTGCCTGAGAAGCAGGAGAGCTATATCCCCTCAGAACTGACCAGCTATACCTGTGGGTTACATCAGGTTGTGTTAAGATTTTATCTGTGTTTCACATCAATCAGGGCATTGTACTTCCCACATACATGCAGAACCCTACTTCAGAATTGGAATGGACTCTTCATTGTTTGCACATTGGACAAATCCTAGTCTTCTAGAATGGGAGGCTTTCACAGCTCTCAGAAACAACAACGGACATTGAAGCAACATTTCTCTACGTAGATGGTTTCCACTATATGTGTAGCCATTCACCAGAATCTATGACTGCACCTTTTATATTCCTGAAGGGTGTTCCTCAGGAGTATGTGCATTGCGTAGCTACGTGTTGCAGTCCCTGACCTTCATAATATACTGCAAATTGGATACAAAGTTTAGGGATGATGCCGCTTTTCAGAGGGCTGTGCTGCTTTTTACTAGAGCCAAGGTTGTGTCCACAGTAGTTCTAAAATAAATATTCGCCCCAAATATGTGTAAAGTTCTACAGCTTCCCATAAATGTGAGTGATACAGACCACAAAGAGCAGGTTGCTTACCTTTTGTGAACTCACACTTCCTCCTATCTGGAGTGTCCCAAGAGTACATTAGTATGAAATAGTGGCACAGACATGGAGTTAAAAATGAAGAAAAGCCTCTGACATGCAAAACAAAGATGTTGACACAGCTGCCAAAAGATACGGGTTCAGTTATTGAAGTGTCCAAATTTTTCTATGAATCCTCAGGGAAAACCGCTATGTATGAATTCACAGTTGACCACTTAAATTATTGTTAATAATGTTGTATTTAATCTGTATTTTACCTATGGATATTTATTATATGTATCTTAACAGTGTTTTGCTATAAATCCCTAAATGACTCCGGCCCAGTTTACCTGTCCGAACTGATTCTCCCCTATGAACCATCAAGGTTGTTAAGATCTTCTGGAGGGGCCCTGCTCTCGGTCCCACCACCTTTGCAATCGCGTCTGGTGGGGACGAGGGACAGGGTCTTCTCAGTGGTGGCCCCTCAGCTCTGGAACTCTCTCCTACTGGAGATTAGAACTGCCCCTTCTCTCCTGACTTTTAGAAAGTTGGTGGCAACTTGGCTCTGGAATTTAGCATTTGATGAGTGAGTCAATAACTCTTGACCACACGGACGGATGAAGACGAATTGTAATTTTAGTATGACGACTTGGCCTTATGTAATTGTATGATTCCTTTTTAATGTATTTTATGTATTAATGTGTTTGGGGTTTGATGTTTTAAACTATTATCTATTAATCTTGTTGTAAACCGGCCTGAGTCCCTCGCCGGAGGTCGAGAAGACCGTATATAAAAGTTCTAAATAAATAAATAAATAATTTTTTTCATCTCGCTATTTTGTTCATGTTGTTCCCACCGTAAGCCACAAGGAGGGGCGAGTAATAAATAAATGGTTCTTATTGTTATCGTTATTAAAGAAACTTCAATTGCAGGGGTAAACAGGTGGTGTTTTTTTTTTTTTTACCATAAGGCAAACAATATGAGTGCATTGTAGTGTGGTATTGATGGCTATAAGGTGTGTTAAGCATCATCACATGCTCATTTGGAAAACTGATCTTTGCATTTGTTAGTATCTCAATTACGTTTGCTTAATAGCTTAAATGTTTTCTTTTTCTTTTTCAGGGAATTAATGCACATACTGAAGAATTGCTAAAGAGCCCGTTCTATGTTGATGCTGCCATATCTAAAGGCTTAGTTGTCTTTTGCTGGGGTGATGAAGCAAACGAGCCAGAGAACAGGAGGAAATTGAGGGAATTGGGGGTTCATGGTCTGGTGTATGACAGGTATTATTACATTTGTATACCTTTTGTAGAAAGCATTTAACTATGTGTTCAGGCTCAAGACATAATCTGGAATAAGAGCTTCATAAATTGCTTTTATTACTTTACCATTTTAGTGTTAGTTAAAGCGTACCTTTACAACAACATTGCACGCTCAATTTATTTGCCTTCATTTTTTTCCAAAATGAAGCAGTCATATATAAATAATAACATTTATATATTGATATTCTTACTAGTGATACATATCTTGAATGCCATATCTTTATGGGTATTTTGCATCAATACATCTACCTTGAGAAAGGGGATCAGTGGAAAGCTGACTTCACAAATGGCAGGTGTTTTTCCTTGGTTCTGCCCTTTTACGCTTCCTACTCATTCTCCTGGGCAACAGCCTTCCTTATTCTGCAGGTTCTCCTGAGTCTCAGGAACATTTTCAAGGGCTCCTTGAGACATTTGCAGCGATTAGGAAAAGGCAGCTTTTACTTTGTGCCCTTTCATACGTAGGTATCTGAATCAAACTTGTTCCATCTGGAGAACCACCTTTTCTCCTGTAGGGAAAAGCAGTAACTGTATTAATTTTTTCATTTACTATTATTCATTTAATTCGCCCCTTGCACAACAATCACAGGTGGGTTTGTTGCCAGGCAGACCTCTCCCTTTTTGGCCTGCATTTGTTGTTTTGTGTTGTGTAAAATACAGTCTGAGAACACCTGGGTTTCCTAACATGTTCCCAGCTGAAGTCCTAATAAACCTGAGCTAAATTAAAAGCAAAACAAATCCTAACCACTGTAGTGCAAACATTATATTGGCTCAGATGCACATAATGTGCTGCCTGATTGTTACTGCCTGGAGTGTTTGGTATTGTTGGTGGAAATGCAGGGCATGAAATAAACCATAACTCAGTAATTTGCTACGCATACATACTTGCTTATTAATACCCCCTTCCATGTCTTGCAGGGATTAGTTTCAGTTTTGAAACTAAAGTACGTAGAATAATTTTAATCACATTTTTGGCTATACTTTCTCCTATTTCCATTTCTCTTTCCACATTTTACAATGGGTGGGCTTAGTACTCAGTTCATTGGTAAGGTAAATATTTACTGAACCATTAAAATAGCCTTTAAGCAGGGAAAATTGTAATCAAAACATAAAAATAAGATAATAAAAAACAGATACCTTTAAGAAATAAATAGTACCTGCCAATAAAACACTCCTACAGAAAAAAACAGCTGAAAATGGAAAAGCCTGTTAACAAAAACATATTAGAAGAATTCAAATTGAATGGAACTAGAGAAATTACTTCAGTTTTGTTGCTGTGTTCCTGGGTTCGCAAAGCTGGAAAGGTACACGCTTCCCATTCCTGTTTCTGACCAAAAGTAACTCAGTAATCACTTCTTGAACAGGGTCTCTAAATAGGGAAGTAACTAGTTTAGTCCCTGATGAATGGATTACTCTTCTTCTAGATATCCACCAGAACCTCCTTTTCCAAATGACGTGACAGGTTTGTACTTGCTTTCTAGAATGGCTTTTTAGAAAGCACTTAAGCAATCCATGGTGGGATCATGATGCTTACTTCCCACACAGCTTTTTATTATTCCTTTTGATATTTGGAATGCTTTTGATGTGTAAGCCATTTTTTTGGGGCTGCTCATATACCTAAAACAATGAAACTATATAGCACTGCATGGAAGTAGTAGGTAATGTCTGTACCTTGTTTGTATGCATGTACTCTGAAAGCTGGATAGCTGTATAACATAATGTCTAACCACTAGAAATCTGAGATGCCAGAAGTTTTGTTGAGCTGTATTTGATCAAATTTCTCAAAACTTGGTGAACTGCCCTGAGTCCCCTTTGGAGTTGAGAAGGGCAGTATACAAATACTGCAAATAAATAACGAATAATAAAAAATAATACTAGTTGCAGGGTGGCTTAGATCTGAATTATCACTAATGCATTTGAGCATACAATAATATTTCCAGTTAAAGTTGTTGGCAATGTAAACAATGCTGATATTTGAAAAGAATTTTAAGTACACTGTCATTCAACTTTTGTGACACTACTTAAATATCACTTTACTATAGCCTGATTTTACATTAAATACATTTCTTCTTAGGATTTATGACTGGATGCCCGAACAACCAAATATATTCCAGACAGAGCAGTTAGAACGGCTGAAGAAGGAGCTACCAGAACTGAAAAGCTGTGTTTGTCCCACTCTTAGCCACTTCAGCAGTCAAGGTCTGTGTAAATGTGATAGTGATACCTTAAGACCAAGAAGGATTGAAAGTTCAAGCAGTTAGTTTCTGGTGGACTCTTAAGTTGTAAGAAATGCTGTTGTGCGTGTGTTCACTTGTTTCCACTGAAGAATGCTAGTAACGCCTCACTGTTCTTGCATCCAAAATTAAGCAATAACGCCTGGCCCACTGTAGGATATTCAAAGTCATTGCTAGATTATCAGATCCAGTTCAAATGCTTGGCCAGTTGTAATTACTCTGTTCTTGTCTGTAGCTGTTGTATATTCGGAGCTGACCACTTTCAGGTGGAATCTGTGTACTGTATGTAACAAACGCACCTAGTTTCTGCGCAGTCTGAAGTGCAATACTTTCAAAAGTCGCTAGGGTGTAAATTGCCAAATATCACTGTTTAATTGATTAGGTTCCAGCACCAGTGGAGCAAACTGTACTGTATAAAATCATATTTGGTCCGATGAAAAGGTACCTCAAGTGCACATGATTGCACTGATTCATGCACTTGTACAGATGCGTGCCAGGATATTGCAACATCACAATTAGTCTTTTCATTTTTTAAAAAAATAATCCTGTTGCTGTCAAGCTGCCTTCTGTCTTGTGTATATTTTGCCAGATACAATGATGAATGGTGTAATCTCTGTTTAGCAACCTACAGGTGAATAGCACCCCTTCTCCTCCTTTTTTAGGATCTGAATTTTGCTGAAACTCAAAATGTTGTAAATCAGTATAAGCCAAATTGCAAGGGTCTGACTCTTAAGTTGAAAAATTGTATCATTGTTGTTAAATGTTAAATGCACAATACAAAAGCCAGTAAATGCATGACGCTCTGGATGTCTCTGGCGGTTCTTGTTCCCTTGTGGTGCTACATGGGACAGGGGTGGCAAGGACTGCCTGAAAATGCTTCAATCTTCGCTGAGAAACCACAAGCCTCTGTGTGTAGATATAGCTACATGAGATTTTGTCATTTCATTCTTTACTTCTAGCCACTAGCAAGTGCATTTGAAAAAAAAAAGGTGAACTTCATTTTCAGAATGTAATAGAATCTCAGTTTGGCTAATGTACGCTGTGTATAAATTATTAAGGAATTATGATGAGTATTTTGTCTTGTATGTACGTCTGCATGTCATTACCCGTACCTCTACAATAGCAGGTAATGAGACCGAACTCTGCAACTTTTTGCTAAAGTGTTAAATGCGTAATAAAATAATAAAAAAATATTTATTTTTTCCTGCTATGGCAAATCAACCATTGAAACAATAGCGTGTATGATACAAATCTTGTCACTGCTGTACAAAGCTGATTCTATAAAGGTTCAATAAATGCAAGTATGTACATGGTTTTGGGTCTGTACTACTAAGTTGTTTGGGGGGAAGTGGCCTGCTTCCTGTTGGTTTGTACTGAAATTCCTTTTTCTCCACGAACAACACAATCTTGAGATGCCTGGGAACTGTCTTATTTTAAAAATAAAATGCATTTTATATCTAAATTCAATCCATCTCTGTGTTTAATGTCTCTAAAATGATGTGTCTGTGCATAGAAAAGAAAGAGAGAAGAAAGCAACACCTACCTGAAAAGTGAGGAGAATGCATTTTCAAAGTCCTTTAGCCTCCCTATTAGCAAAGAAAAACAAAAAGCCGCTACCAGATTTCAGCAGCACAAACAAGCAATTTGCCATAATGGGAGGGGCTGACTTCTTCTCTTACAGAGGATTGATGGAAGAAAAGCCCTGTACATGGGTAAAGCAAAATCAGCAATAGTACCATCGCTCCCCTTCCGATGGCATAGAAAGTGAGAATGATGGTGAGGTATAGCACAAGCAGTGGAGGCGGAAGCAAGGTGGGGATTCTCAGCACTGCACTGAGAGAAAAGGTAAAGTTCCTTCCGCCCAAAAGGAAGACAAGATGCAGTGGGGATAGAGCCAAGCCTTCCCAATATCTTTGCCAGGGAATGTCAAGTTGCCTCTTCTGCCACCGCACTGCTATACCTAAGAGATGGGGATAAAACAAGCAGGAAGAGAGCACTAGCTATTATGCTGTATTGTGGGAAACCACCCTTTTTGTATCTGAATGTGTTGTTTTCTCTCCATCAGATCAGTGGGAGGTCAGCATTTTTATATCTTTGCTTTATGCTTATCTTTTGCATGGGAATGTGTGCCCACGTCTTGCTGTGCCACCTTCTCCTTCCTCAGGCAGTAGGCCAGAAAATAAAAGAGGAACAAGGACTTTTAAATGTACTGCTGGAAACCTCATGGAGTTGCCTACCTGCAGAAGTGCCATTCAAGTCAGATTCCCATTTCTGCTCTAAATCGAAGTTTCAACGTTGAGCTTGAACATCAAAAAATTTAGAGTTGGAATTAATTTACAATTTAAAAATAAATGATGTCATTCTCGTCTCCTGTATCTTAGCAGCAGAGGAACACATTCTTGAACATTAAATATATCCAAATTCACAGCATTCCGTTTTTTAAGTTTGTGTTTGTATGTTCTAATAATGCCTTCAATATGAATGTTCATCTTCTGCCAAAAGAAGGACTTAGAGATTCCTAGGGGGAAAAAACCTCTCTAGGAATTTCTAGATCCTCCAACACAATTTTGTGCTCAAAAAATCACATTCAAGGCCCAGAGATTCATAGAAAGGTGTTTTTAAAAAGTGGATTTTTATTTGCAGTTTTTCCACTTTTTCAGAGATCTTATGCCCTTAACCACAGTGAATTGGGAAGGCTGACATAATAGAAGATGGATGTGAAGTGAGCTGCTATAGGATTTTTCCAAATTCTGTTTCCCTAAATGGCAGTTTGCTTACAGTATATTGAATCTTGTCAAGCATTAGCCCTCATTAAAGTATATAAAGTACCGGCTGTTACATGAAGCCATTGTCATACTTGGGGCAGCTATTTATCGAGTACTTTTTCACCAACAAAACATTTTGCGTACATCTTTACCACTGTTCTTTGAGAGGGAATAATAAAAGATAATGATTTTACAGATGCTGAAGCTGAGATTAATTTCTTAATATTTGCATGATCCTATGGTAGAAGAGTAAGTCTTGACTTAATGCATGTAAAAATAGAGCATTTCAAAAGCTCTGCTGGTAAGATTATTATGTTATGCATTTTTGATCTTTACAACAGCAACAAAAACTTTTGCCTTGCATAAAAGACTGTTTTCTGTGCAATGTTCATACTATATGCAAAAAATGTGCACCAGTTTCCCCTGGAAAACATCTGGAAGACCAAGATTCAAGAACCACAGCTTTACATGCTTTTGTCTTCAGTTTGGTGGCTCCCCAGAAACCAGAAAGCAAAACTGCAGATAGTGTCTCCTGCATTGTCTGTATTTAGAGATGACCACAATAACTTTGAAACAAACCTAAACTAATTTTTGAATCCTCCATTTACACTCTAAAATAATGGTTTTCAATTTTGCTTCCCCAGATATTGTTAGACTGACACTTTCAGTATCCTAAATCTTTGGCGATGCTGGCTGGGATTCCAGGAAGTGAAGTCCAACTGAAAGTTAGAAACACTTTTCTAAAGTTTGCAGCCATTCCCATGGCAGCCCCCAATTCAAGTTTATGAAAATAAGCATTGGGACAAAATGTTCCATAATTCAGTTTAAGCAGCTTTAGTTGTAAATGGAAGCCATCCAAATCTTTTTTTTTAATTTCATAAAGGGATTTCCAACCACTTCATGTTTGTCCTGCTTTAAAGGTCACTCCATGCCTATGTTAGCAAAATGTCAGTTTTTCCCTAGTGCGTTGGAAATGACATTCTTTAAAAGGTGGCTTCGGGATCTACAAAGTGTTCTCAGGCCACTGGTCTTTTAAGACACTTAAGTGCACAGCTGATACTGCAACTCTTACCATCCTTGAGCACTGGCCATGCTGGCAGGGGTGAATAGCAGTCCAACACGTTCGGTGAAGATACAAATTCTTTCATCCTGGTATTTAGGATTACTTCTTTTTGAAGTTCTGTTGGCTCTCCATATCCACAAGTTTTGTATCCAAGGATCCAAACAACTGAAGCTTAAAATTATTCACACAAAAATTTCAAAAAGCCTAATTTGGTTGCATGCCAAGCATTACCCTTCTATAACCTCGCATCATTTCACAGACCCTTATAAGGCACTCATTTGATTCATTTACACTCTAAATGAATCTTATAGCAGGGATGGCAGTTTACAATGCCATTGTATGTGATGAGAAATGTTAAAATCCAGAGAGTTCTTGGAACCAAACCCCAGCAAATGCTAATGGCAGGAAAATGTGGGAAATGACCTTGGATGTGTCTCTTTTTCCGGAATACCTTCCAATCTTTATCAGGAGATTCAAGAATAGTTCCAAGAACACAGCACCTGGGAGTAAATTTCCAGAGGAAGAGATGAAATTGATACATGGAAATGACTAGATCTTAAGGAAAGAATTTGTGAACACATGACACTATGTAACAACATTTGAAAAAAAATCTTGTTTCAAAGTGTTATTTTCTGTTTAATTGTGCTGTAGTTATTTTGAAGTGCCATACATACTTGAAGATAAGCTAAGTTTTTCAGGCCTGTTTTGAACTGAAAAAAAGCCTCCTTTGACTTATAAAAGAGTCTGTAGATGCATCTATACTGTAGAACTAATCATGTGACTTGTAGTTTTATAAGGTCTTTAGCCTTCTCTCCCAAAGAGTGCAGGTTCCATGGCAAGTAAAATAGTGTCAAACAGCATTAGTTCTACAATGTAGATACACCCCAGGTCTATGCTGCTCATTCAGATGGCTTGCTACTGCCTCATCTCTGGATAGTAGTATATCTATGGGGCTGCCATCCTAAATAAAGATCATTTCCAATATGTCAAGGTTTCACATCACATCTGAGCAGAAGAAAGTACATCTCTTTCCGTGCAAGGCCATATCCACATGACAAGATCAAGAACTAAAAAGCTACAGTTGCACCACAGAAGGGAGTAAAAACATTGCTCATCCGAGTATAATTATGATACAACTTATTTATACTTTAATTTGGGGGAATGGGAATTGATTAGTTCCAGGTTCTGCTCCTTAGCAAACGAATGCAAACAAAGTCCTCCAAACTTCCTGATTTCCACTTCTCTCTGGCTCCTTGCCACCCAACCCTTCAGGGATTAGACTGCGTGTGAATTTTTAATCTCATTCCAGCAGCTAAGTCAATAGTTTATGGAATTCAAATGCGACAGATTTTTTTGTAGAAGGAGCAGCTGCAACAGGGAGGAAGGAGAAAATGTTCCCATCTAAAAACTGAACCTTGCAGCAAACATCTAAGGAACACTCAAAGCAATGTGGCCTGGCTACAGCATTCCTTTGCAAACAGTAAAAAGGGCAATCAGCAGGGGCATTTGAAGTTAAACATAACCTTTGCCTTCAAATATTTTGTTCTCCTGACCTGTACTGAGATGGTGTTATTTTAAAAATGTATTAGTGCTAGCGATTGTGGAAGAGCGAGGAGAAATTGAATAGAAAACACAACAATGGAAGCACAGCAGTGGACAAAGCATGCTGAAGAATAAACAGACCATTCCTTTGCTCTCATTCGTTAAGACTCTTCCAGGAAGATTTGGCAAAATGTTTTGAACAGATGTGTGAAATTCAGCTTCCTCTGCCACAATTAGCAAAAATAATTCCTTGATCCCATCCCCAGCTGCTGTATTCTACCTTTAGATTGTTTTCTTTAGTTGTGTGCCTTCAAATTATGTCTGACTTATTACCCTAAGATATTTTCTTGGCAGGGTTTGTTCAGAGGATTTGTGCCATTGCCTTCCCCTGAAGCCAAGATGTTGTGACTTGCCTTTATCACATTAACGGGACCCTTTCTTCCCATTCCTTTGGTCCTCAGTTGTTATGGCTCCTCCAAACTTTGTCTTTTAGACCTAATGTGAAGATTCATCATCAGGCCAAACAGATTCCTCTCTCCTCACGTTCTAGTTTCGGTTACACAACCAGCTGACAGGCAACTTCAAGGCATATTATGACATAAACAGAAGAGATTATAACATCAATACCTAGTTACCATCACAGACCATAAGCAGTACTGTACTGTGCTGTACACACCTGCCTAGAAATCTAGAGCTGGAAGAGACCACAAGGGGCACCTAGTCCAACCCCTGCCATGCAAGAACGCGGAATCTAAGCACTTTCCGACAAAATCCACAGCATCTTTTAAGTTTCTTCCATCTTAAAGCAGACCTGAATATGACAGCACTTCAGACAGGGACACCCTCAAATAAAAGCCTATTTTCTAAAAGACGTTCAGAGTACAATTATAAGGTTGGTCACATGCCCATCCCATGCCCTCCATCTCTACCAGTTTAGCATGGACAACCCTACTACCAGGCACAATTCAAAGTGCTGGCTTTAGCCTATAAAGGCCTAAACAGTTCTGGCCCAATTTACCTGTCCGAATGCATGTCCTCTTATGAACCATCTAAGACTTTAAGATCGTCCAGGGAGGCCCTGCTCTCGATCCT